GAACGGACATCAAAAGTTCGAAACCTCAACATGTACCTTGATTATGTGTCTGAAGTAAATACTGAATTGATGAAGTCACAGTCCCCACACTTCATTTAGACGTGTAGGTAATTTAATAATTAATTGTATTAAATCTATAGATTATGGCGAAGTTACGTAAAAATAATAGTGATAACACAGATATTTAGACTTGGTTAAATGGCTGCACTGATTTAATATGATAATGATTATCAATAATTAAAATCATATGTTTGTAATCATTAGTCTGTTTTCATTGTATTTTCTGTTTTTATAGTTCTACAGTCTATACTAAATCCCAACTCAAGAAATTGTCTTAGGCGTTTCAATTTCTATTTTCCATTCTGTAAACAAATAATTTTATTTTATTATCTTTGAATAAACTAACCGTCATGGCTAACTTGGGTTTTGCTGAAATGTCTATTATACGTTTGCTAAAACAACCCTTTACACAGGTCAGTACAACTTTTCATGATATTGTGTAATATTGTGTAATTTCACCTTGCAAGTATTTTATTTGCAGCAAATCAAGCAGATACATGTATCATCTGCTTTAGCAGCTAGCGACGGGGCTGCTGTAGATAAAACGCCGAGAATCAAAACCGTTCAAGTATATAGATGGAATCCAGAAACACCCGAAGTCAAGCCAAAAATGCAAGACTACAAGGTTGACCTGAATACGTAAGTATTACAGCATATAAATAATGAGAAATAAGGTATATTGTGTTTATACTTGCAGTTGTGGACCTATGGTTTTGGATGTATTGATCAAAATTAAAAACTCCGAGGATTCAACATTGACATTTAGACGTTCTTGCCGTGAAGGTATTTGTGGTTCTTGTGCTATGAACATTGGAGGAGTCAATACATTAGCTTGTATTAGGTTTGTATTCAATATTTTTCAAGTAATTGAATTGTCTTATTTAATAGTGTAATGTAATGTATGTATGCTTATCGTGTTGCCCAGTGGTGTCAATTCTGATCTGTCAAAACCATTGAAAATATATCCATTACCTCATATGTATGTTGTCAAGGACTTGGTCCCAGATATGAAATTGTTTTACAAACAGTACGCTTCTATTGAACCGTGGCTACATACTGATGTAGTACCAGCTAACAACAAAGAACATTTGCAACATACATACGACAGAGAAAAACTTGTAAGCCGTTAATTACTGCTATATTTAAATATGTTTTTAATTGATTGCATATTATATATTTTAGGATGGTTTGTATGAATGTATTTTGTGCGCGTGTTGTTCCACGTCATGTCCTTCATACTGGTGGAACTCTGAGAAATATCTCGGACCGGCTGTTCTCATGCAGGTATAATTATTGTATTGAAATTGAATATAGAGTATTTGTGAATTGTTGCAATTATAATTAATACATCTATTTATTTTTAAATGTATGTACTGTTATATTATAGAACTGTCTTTGAATTAATAATACTTGTCTATCTGACGTAATTATTCATAGTTAATTGAGGGATATTTTGAATTTGCATTGGAAGTCCTCTGACAGCAAACATTCATTGACCATATTTCAATAAAAAATTATCATTAATGTAAATTAATAATTACATTTTTTAATTAAAGGCGTATCGTTGGATTATTGACTCCAGAGATAAAGCTACAGCAGAACGTTTAGATAAAATGAGAGATCCTTTCTCAGTGTTTCGCTGTCACACAATTATGAATTGTACTAAAACATGCCCAAAGGTTTGTGTAACCATATTTGAATTTATGTACTTATTTTTAATTTTTAATTTAAATTTTAAGGGTTTGAATCCTGGTAGAGCTATTGCACGCATCAAAAGTTTACTTTCCGGAGTCACCAACAAGGAAGAACCTAAAGCCATCAAACAATAAAAAAATGCTCCATAGTAATATAATTTTTAGTAGTATTTTTCAAACTGAAAATTAATTATAAACCAAAATTCTGGTTACAAAGTATTCTAATTTAATATTTTATGGTTTATAGATTTCGAAATTAATGTCTGCTAATTTATTGTTATAAATAAAATACTATTATTATTACTCAATGCTGTTTATTAAATTTAATTTCAGCATTCTTAACTACATCAATATCCTCTGACGAAACACATTTACAACTTTTCATTAAATCTATTAATTTCTCTTTGAATTCATCGTGTTGTTTTTTCTTATAGTTCACAATAAATTTTCGAGTTTCCATTAAAACTATGCCTCCGTCTTTAACCATAGACGTTATATTAGAGTTCATTTTTTCGAAATACATATGCCCACAATACATTACATCAAAAAAATTCTTATATCTATCAAACGTAGGGTAATCTGTCATAGCTGTGCGAGGCATAAGGTGGATCTCTACATCACTAACACTAATACTAGAGTAATGTTCAGACGTAACTTTAACTCTAGTTGATGTAGTTTCTACTTCTTGGATTTTCACGTTTGGCAGTTCAGTGATAATAACCCCGAGATCGTCAGTTTTACCTTTGTGCTTGTATGGCTTTTGGTTTTCTATTTCATAGAACATTCTTGTTAAATTTCTCTCAGTCAAATCCACAGAACGTTTAAGTGGTTGCATGTTACCCATCTTCAACATATCGTCGTCTTCACAGTCTAAGCCAAAACACGGAAAAGGACCATTTATAATGTCTCCAAAATAGTCCATTGCAGTTATTTTGTCTCCATCTTTCAGTAGGGCTAAAGCAAACGTGTAATTTGGTTCGGTGCAATCCGTCTCCAAGAACGTGTAAGCTACACCAGTGTCCCGCCAATATATGTACTCTTGATTAGTGATTCTTTTACCTCCGTCGATGTAATGAAGAGTCATGTGTAAATCCCAGTCAAATGCATTGTTTCGGTGATCGTACCTTGCACCCAAATAGTTTCGTACTCTCTTATCCCACATCATTGTTATGTTGAAACCATTGTTATTTTTCCAATATTTAAATATGGTTTCAATAGTGTCCCTCTCTTTGTATTTAAGTGCATCCAGTTGAACAACAGGCAAACAGTGTTGTCTAGCTGTTTCGTCGGTAATGATATCTATAAGTTGAGCTGATTTTTTGATTAGATAACTGTTTGTATTGGGCTTTACAAGGGTATTTCCATAAAGTTCCATCCAAGTACGTACCTGAAAATTGTTTTTAGAAATAATTGAAAATCGTGTAAATTTGTTGAATTATATTATTATTTTGTATTTTTATAAATTTATTAGAAATTATAGATTATTAAAAATATATTTTTTATTTTGATTTGTAGACCACAAACTTTGGTGTAAGTACCAAGTATGTAACTAATTTTTGTACGGCGCTAATCGATTGGTAGCTGTTTCATTTATTACAATATTATGTTCCATGACGGATATCATAATCATTTATTAATTAATAAAAAAATTAAATTTTTTATTAATTGGCGCCTGGCGATGAAATTTCAAGTGAGGCGTCTCGTCCATATTTATGGAGTAAATAATGCTTTATTTTAAAAGTTCTTAGCTCAATGATAGGTTCCAAATTATCTGTTATTTCTATTTTGCTCAACGCTCACGTCTATGGTCTAGTATTACCTATGCAAAACCGACAGCAGCCTATGGAATATTTCCATAATATTATGATTGTGAAACTTTAAGAACTGCACATGTGCAATCGTATCATGTACACTTAAAACGGTAACAATAAAATTACTATAAATAATTAATTTAGTTTACCTATTGAAATATATTTATCCGCTTAAAAAAAAAACAAAATAAAATATAAAAATAATCAATTTACAATTTTATTATTAAATTAAATAGTTGCAATAACATATTAAATTAATTTATTGTTTTCTGTGCATTTTTTCCGAAACACTCTTAATCAGTAAAAGAAGGTTTAATTTTAATTATAAGTTACTAGTAAGTGTTACTGTTATGTTTACATTTTATACGTAAAACGGTTCGCATTAGAATTATTCACTTTGGATCAATTATTTTTAGATTTTTATTTATTTTTAGACAGTTAGGATTCAAATTTTAAGATCTTCTCCTTAATCCTTATATTACTACACGATATCGTATTATTATATTTTACTATTCCAACACAAAATAAATTAATTGCCATATAGTTGTTTTTAAGTGGTAAAGCACCTTTTAAGTATCTCTAATAATATATTTATTTTGATAATTTGTGTTCATCTCGATCTCATTAAAATCTCTCGCTTTCGAGGGAAAGTGAACGCTGAACGCGGTCGAAGAATTATAATACCTTGTACGATAAGCTCATCCGATCGACCGGCTCAAGAGCCAGCGCTATTTGCTGTATGTGCCTGGCGTACATGTCGACAACCGGTTCGTAAACATAGAAGTGAATTTTCGCGTACGAATGTTCGTACCGTTTGGCCAGCGTTCGTAGCAAGTGGCGCGTATCGCCCGCGCCCACGATCAATACGTTCAAGACGCGTCCGTCGCCGCCGACCTGGCTGTACGCGGCCAGATCGAGACAAGGGCTCGAACCCCATAACATGATGATGAATGCAATTTATTTCTGCTGCGAAATAAAACGAATTTTCGACTTTTTCGAATGTACCGCTAGTCCTGTATACCTCCTCCTATACCTGTCCAGCAACTGCAGACGAACGTCTCGGAAATCGGAATCTCGCGTCTGAAATACAAATTCAGTAGAATAGGTATTACGATTAATATTAATAGTTATGTCGTCACGGTTTGCGCCTGTATTTCCGATTTCGTAAGTCGTAACCATCGATCAAACGCGTTTCGATCGCGATTTGTGGCGTGTTTGCCATGGCAACCAACGGCACGGACGATCGTCGAAGTCTGTTGCGAAAACGGTGTTCGGTTTTGAAGACGGGGGAATACCGCGGGAAAGTGTCCAGCCAATTATCGATGACGCGCGGTGTTTTTTTTTTATCACACACACTCGCACACACGGGCCGTGATGTCATGAATGTCGATTGCTAAGAGAAAGCTCCCGCTCCGATTCGTGATAACGCGTTGGCGAGCGCAACAAGTAGCAGGCAACGGCGTATTATTACTACTACATAAACTTATAACTACTAATATTTACTATTTAGTGTTTACATATTCTGTCAAATTCACTTCAACAGTGAAGTTATTATTTTTGTTTCGATAACATGTGATGTTAGGATTGATCGACAATCGTTATTGCGGACCATCGATCGATGCGAAACGATAGTTTATTATTTTTCTCTAGCTCTCGTCGTCGGATTTACGTTTAGACGTCTCGGACGGACGACAATCTTTTCGCATGTTATTATGGATTCCATGTCGTGTTCGACCCTATCGGACGAACACTTGCAAGACTTCACCGATTTAACGATATCCATTCTCCGGCTGCCGACCAGGGAACGGTTGTCGTGCATGTTGAACGCCAAGAAAGTGATTCCGTCACCCGAAAACATACCCAGGTAGTGTTAGTATAGTGCATTTTATTTTTATGTCCATCGTCATGGTTTAGTGAATTTCTATATTTTTATACACTCGAGTCTTGCCAATTTCCTGTGAAAATTAAAGACGCCTATTGAATTATCTATTAGCGATAAATTGTTTTAATGAATAATACCATATTGCAGTTTTAGTAACATCACAAATTTTTTTTTTTTTTGGCTCCAACCAAATTTTATTTTCATTTGGTTATTTTGTATTTCATTTATGAATTGATAAATAAGTATTGAAATGTTATAATTAAAGTTCAGTTTTGAAAATAATATTTTTAATGTTTTGTTGGTACCTGCTTGACGTTGACAATAAGATTTTGATAGAAGTATAAAATACTTGAGCCTAATAGTTGTGAAATTTTATTCTTGATCAAATATTTAATTTAAAATGTTTATAGAGATTGGAGAGGACTGTGCACACTTTTGAACTATACAATACCATCGGGATGTGATCCAACTGACCCGATTGGCAAGATATTCAAGTTTTGTGAAGCAAAAACAACTATAGCACATTTTATACAATGTCTAAAACGAATAGATAGATATGACGTTGTGGAAGAGACAGAAGAATTAATTAGTAAGTACTGACTTTAAATATATTAAATTCATATAATATCTTATGTGTTGTATAATTTAATTAGCTAAACATTAATATTATGTTTCTAATATTGTTTCAAGTTTCTGATATTAAATATTTTAAAGAACGAAGTTCATTAGCAAATCCAACTCCAGCAGTACCTAATGATTTTGACATCAATGTTATTACTTTAGGTGAGTTTTATTTAAAATTTGCTTGTATACAAATATTAAATCATGAATAATTTAAATGATTTTTAGATGATATAAACGCTTCCAATTATGGTCTTCCTTTTTCGAGATATGATGCATTTTTACTGTATGATAAGGCAGATATACAATCAGCTGCTGCTGTTGTAGAAAAATTAGAAACTGATTATAAGCTTAAGGTAATATTATATTTAAAAGTATATTTTTTTTCTTAAAATAAAAATCATAAAGGTAATACAAAACATAGTACTATCACTAGGTGACTTCTATTCTCATGTTTTCATGTAAATAATTTAGTAAATATCACATTCTAATTGTATCTCAAGGAACAGATGGCTTAATAAGAAAATTTTTTAATAATTACTTCAATACAAATTACCTACATAATTTTCTGAAAAAGAACTTTTTGGAGTGTTTAATGCATTGTATATTTTTTTAATAATTTATACTAATATACTAATAAAAATATAATTACTCAAAATAATCAAATTAAAATAAAAACATTGGAGTTTTAATCACTGTGATTGGTTATTATGTTAAAAAATATAAATTTTGTATTTAGAAATTTGTTTAAATTGTACATTTATTTCTAAACGGATATATTATTTATATGTCATCAAGACATTAATTTTAATTTACTTAATTATTTTCATTTGATGCAAAATAAATTTTCATAATTACATAATAAATTCAAATATTTTTATGTAATGTAAATCAATTATAAGAAGCAACAACTTTTTTGCGATCTTAAATCTAAATTATTTAAATTATTTTTTTATAAATAAATAGTATACTAAATACTTTTAATACCCTAAAATCAACATTAATTTATTTCAAGTTTAATAAGTTCACCAATTATATTTTATATTTTTCAGCTATGCTTAAAAGATCGAGATTTAAGACCAGGCGTTATGTTTGAGTATCAGTCTATAATAAAATTGATATCTGACCGCTGTAATTGGTTGATCATTATAGTATCAAATGATTTTTCAAACAGCCCTTGGAATAGATTTATTATGAACTATATACAATCATTAGCAATTGGTAAGGAATATTTTTTTTATAATTGTATGATTTATACCTAACAAGCCATTTAATTTATTTTAGAGCAACGGTTACCTAAAATTATTCCATGTGTATTTGGTGATTGTGTATTACCTCAAGAACTTAAATGTTATGTTCATTTATTTTTTAATAAACATAATCCTTTTTGTGACCCATGGAATAAGCTGAGAATTACTTTGTCACCTAATAAGAATCTAGCATTGACCAACAGGTTAGACATTAATTAATCATTTAATTCATTTTTTATGTAAATATTTATAATTATTCATTTATTAGTATGGAAGCAAATATCAGTTACCAGAAACCAAAAATTGAAGAACACACAAATACCATTACTAAAACTGTTGATATAAATGAAGTGGTAAAGATTTCTAACGAAGAACACAATTTGGTGCCCAAAACTAAAAATGTTTTTGACAGATTAGTAAAGACTGTTGGAAATATTTCTATCAAAGTTGTTCCTCAAAAATGGAGTAATAAAAATAAAAAAAAAGTAAAATGTTCTAGTCTTTAACTCAGTTTTCTTGTTTATACATAATATCAGAAAGTCTAAATATCAAAGATGTTGTTATTTTTTTATAGAATTTTACCATCTAACCTTTGTTATGTTTTTATGTTTTAATATTTTATATGAATGATTAATCAATTGTAATCAAATATTTAATTTTTATATTTTTTTTACTATTAAAGTATTTTTTTATATCTTAGTTTGTGCTTTTTAGTTTTTTAAATATATTATCAAACAAAAATAGAAAAATAATTATCTTGGTGTCTGATAAATTAAATAGTCAAGAATTTCTGATATATTTAACAGACAGATAACATTTATGTATATAAAAAAAAATAGATTATCATTGCAGTTATTATTATTATTTTAATTTTACAAGAGCTAATACTGAAATATTGTTAGGTTATATAATGTTATATTAATGGTCAAAATTGTTTAAAAATGGTTAGACATTACTACTTAGTAAAATAACTGACATTTTAGATAAATTATTTTTAATAATTTTATTATAATCTATTAACTATGGTAATTAGTTCTTATGATTATACTCACAAAATATGTCTTAATTGCATTAATATTCTAAAAAAATGTACATTTATTTCTGTTTTTTATATTATATGTTATTAGAATATTTATTGAAAATCATTTTAAGTATGATACATCGCATTTCAGATATTAGAAATATTTGCTGATTTATTTAAAAAAGTACATGAAATATTGACTTTTAAAAGAATTTATATTTTATAATACATAATATTTAACAATTACAAAAGTTGAAAATATATATAACTATATAAGCATATAAAAATTATTATTAAAACTTTCAGCACGTAAAATAGTTGATTTTCTTAAATTACTTATTATGCGGTGAATATCGACATAGTTATCCGTAAAAGAAAGTACATTTGTATCTTGTGTTCTATTAAGGTCTCTTGGCTCTAGGACGAACTTTAATGGGTCTTAAATGAATCTCATTTATAAAAATGATGCGAAGAAGTTTCCAAAATATATTTGGTCTGATTTGAAAAATAATTTCAAACAATGCATACGAGTGTAGCACTAGGGCAGAATATTCGATATTTGATGTACTAAAATTATGTAAGTCATGGATTTTTCAAAACATATATTTATATATTTTTAATTTTCAGTATTAACAATCCTAACTCAAAATCTGAATCTAAGGGAATTGACAAAAATTATGAACTGTGATTATAGACTTAATTCTACGTCAAGTATCTGTGACATAATTTATCAATGTTTTTTACCTTTATTAAATTTGTATTTACATTTTTAGATAGTGGAGTTTTCCATTTATCTCTTTATCAATAAGCATTAAGCAATAAAATGCTGGGATATTCGGTATCGACCATAAATTTTAGTCGTATCTCCTCCTCCCCGACACCTAGAATAAATCCTAAATACGTCACTGATAATACTTAAAGTAGAGTAGGTACCTATTGAATTATTTTCATATATTTATTTACCTTATACTAGTTATACTATTAGTAAAAGTAATCGTGTCATATTTATAACACAACTTATTTCTTTTTAAAAATAATAGTTTTACGAAAGTAATATATAATTGATCTTGTAAATTACATAATATTTGGGATTTCGATCATTATATAATTCTGTATAAATATGTCTATATATGCACACACTTGATTCTTGATTAACCATTTACTTTCACATCAACAGTAATTTTTAAAATTGAGCCTATACATATTATAAGTTAATAATTATTAATTAATAAATGTACTGATAGATATGATGGTATAACGGTTTACCTACGCAAAATATCGTTCGATTAAAAGCATCTTTTCATATTAAATTAAGTATTTTTTTTTATACAAAATATTCGATACACGTACCAAAAATGTGTTGCATTACAAAACAATTGGTACTTCCAATGACTGTACCTACACAAGGCACAAATTTTACCCGAGATACGTAACGATGATACTGCAAAAACCCAGTCAAGATTAGGTTGAGTCTTTTTGAAACACTTCGTAAATATAAAATTGTATTTATCAAAAAGATTATTTTAAGAAATTTAATATTTACTTGTTTGTACTAGGTCTGGGCTCTTCAGTCTCTCTTTTTTTTTTTGTCATACCATTCATATTTACTGAAAAATTTAACCAATAAAAGTAGAGATGGACGAGTCTTAACATAATCATAAAATTCAGAACAAGTTTTTTTGTAATTGTACTTGCACATTAAAAATTGCTTGCTAATTGTGTTTCCATTGGAGAAAATACACGTTCAACATTAGCAATAAGTGCTGGTAAAGATATTGCAAAAACATTGGGCTAGCTTTAAAAGTTCAGTGTTTTTTATGACGTATTGACAAATTAAAAAAAAAAATAATTGCCATTTTTCACTAGCAATTTCAACCAATAATAAGTTAAACTATTTTAATTTTATTCCAAAACCGGGTCATAAAGGCGTCCCGAAAATATTTTTCAGGATACTAAGTCGAAAACTGGCGACAGTCCCGAGTTTATGACACGTATGACAAACCTAATGTAATATTGTCATGAGAATTCCATGTCGAGTATTCATATATTTTTTTTAAGTTATCATAAAAATACCACGATTTACTTTTCAATATTTAGCCGTCATGGAAGAATAAAGGTCTTATACAGTTGATCTATACTTAAAATCAACCTTTTTTTAAAACTGTAAATTTTAATATAGTTAGTCGTTTCACTTTTGTTTGGAATCAGTAAGCCGATTTTTTTTTTTTATTCATATCGTTATGAATAGTGAAAATATCAAAATCAGTATTAACCTTATCAAAATCGCGCACGACACACAGATTGTTTTGTTATATCCATTTTATATTTAAAAATATATGTAAATTTTTTAATCAATTTAACGAGTTCTATTTGGGTCATATAAAAACCATTAGTGAGCCGTAAGTTGAGCGTTGCTCAACTAGACGAACAATAATAATTTATTTGGAAATCAATTGATGTGAAATATATGTACTTAACTTTTAAATTTTATAAAAAAAAAAAAAAAAATGGTATGTTTTTACCGACAGCCCATTTGCGTTAAGTTTACCTGGTATAATTATAATTTATAGTACGATTTTTTTTAAAAATTATAAGCTATCGATAATCATAGTCAATTGCACAATTTTAAATAATCAACTCCTCAATATAAAATGTTTACACAGGTAAAGTCGTCGCAAATGGGTAACCCCCTTGATTGAAATAACAATAGATTATATACTAATGTAGATAAGTACTTACCTGAAATCCTAGAATCACGCACCTCAATACACATTGTGGGATACAGATAAATATTGAAAGTTATAAATCATGAGTATAAACGATGTTTGAAAGTATGAAATATATAGTATTTAAGTCATAACAATTTAATGCACGTAAATACGTAATGGCATTTTGTGAATATACTGGCCTGTTTTTAAAATACATTAGCACGGTTAATTATTTTTCGTATCATCTATGAACTTGATAATTATTGTTACGACTCTGAAAACACGAAGGGAGTATAATCGTACATATATCGAAGTACACATCTGACTAACAGTTTTTGATCACCTCATTTAATTTTTTTTTTTTAATAAAAGCACCTGCAGGCACGATCAATGTTTGATTTACACCGGTAAGTTATCTTATAAACAGAACCAACGTTAAAAAATACACTTTATATCTTTACAAGACTTTTGGCTATTCCTTCGACGATGAGACAAAGTTGAGAGTTTTTGATCTGAAGGACTTGGAGCGAGTAAGCATAATATAATAAAATACCGTTTTTTGAGAAATTTTAATAGTAGAAATATATTGAAAATAATTATTTTAAATAGAAACACAACTACAAAATTTATACATAATATTATTGTACAACGCCTAACGTATTATAAATGATAACTAACGTCTAACAGTAATATCACCAAGCCAAAACATTTAATGTATCTATTATAACATAAATGAAGTATAATTTTAAACTATAAAAAAAAATGTAATATTAATACCTAACTTTTAATTTATATTTATGCAGTTATTAACTGAAAAAAAAATACAGTCGGTTCTTTAGTTTATTGGAAATTCAGGTATAACAAATAATAACATACTCAGACAATTTTTACTTTCTGTTTATCTTAAATTTGAGCAGTTTCCAATTTAATGAAATAGTAAAATTTAACTTGATGTACACACATTCACATAATTAATACTATAGGTTGATTTGTTAAATACATTTTTGGGAAAAATGGTAATATTTGAAGTTACAATAAACTGTATAGTTGTGCAAAGTTGGTCCACAAATTAACCGAGTATAAAATATTTTGTTCAATTTGTAATTAGTTAAAGATTATTATAATTTTAAATTTACGATCAAAATTAATTTCGCATAGAAAAAATAAATAATATAAATTAACTCACTATAAAAAAAATAGCAAACAATAGTCTATAAATAGGTACCTATTTACTGCTCTCTGACATAATTTATTGTCTAAATTAATATTAAGAGCATTGAAAGCATAGTTAATCGATATTTTATCAAAATTATTTTTATTTTTTTCAATGTACTATTGTTATTTAACTGTACTCATATAAAAATTGTAAAATAAATGTATGTATATTTTCTAATTGACAAGACAATTGACTGCATATAGCATATGTGATATGTTTATACCTAATTAAACAATATACAAAATACAAAAAATAATAAAAATGGCAATAGTTAATGAGTACTAATATAGTATATATATATATATACATAATATATAAATTTACATTACCATTCGACTAATTTCCTTTTAACACAAAAACAATGGGATATACACTTTCTTTTATATATAAATATTAAAATAATGCAAGAATATACATAATTTGAATAGTAAAAATGTAATATTGATTGTGTATGAAAATTTAATAAAAAGTTGGCAAAAAATATAATTGTATAGGAAGCTATTGTTAGTACAATTTTAATAAATATAAGATAATTTTATTTTCAGCTTGAAAAAAAATTGGAAAATCTGGTAATAAAAATGATTATTATGGAAATAAATGCTACTTAAGAAAACTTATAACAGTATGTATGGTCTTTGTCTTACTACACATAATATATTAAGAAGTTAACACAAAAAAAATTCTATGTAGGGCGTTAGATAATAGTTTACCTACCCATTAAATTTGAAAAAATGGATCAATTAAAAATGATTCAACATTAAAAATAATCTAAGTTAAATATTGTTCTAAACGTACAATAATTCTGTAACTATGTTGTGTTTTTAAAACCAACACTAAACAACACAACACATTATGTTTCTCCTAAAAGCAAATGTTTGTTATGAATAAAAATAAATAAATAACAATTTAAATAAAACCATATTCTTTAAAGATGTAATAAATACTTGTCAATAATAAAATTATATTAACAAATGTTTTTGTATAGTTATGAAGAAATGATTGGATAACAAGAAAAAGATTTTGAAAAATATTGTTCAAAATAATTAAGTATCTTAAATGATATATAATAATAATAAAAGTTTAAAATGGGGAAGTTTTTTTTTAAAGAAATATATATTATTACTTATATACATAGTTAGAATTTATTCTACCTGTAATAAATCTTTAACTCTATCAAAAGTTTTTATTGATACAAAAAATTAATTTCAGATTTATTATAATTATAAGTTGAAAACTAAAATATTTTTTTCTTTAAATTGACACAAATTTATTGTTATAATCGACTATCCTAAAATAATAATTTCAATTAATTTTATGGAGCTTAAATAATAATAATTTACTAATTTCTAACTTAGTATCATTTGTTAAATAATGTAGGTTGGTTTTCACCTATCTAATTGTCAATAAATATTTAATATTATCTGTTTTTTTTTTTTTTAAATTTAAATAATTGAAAAATAGTATAATTTAAATTTTAAGTATTAAATCTGAAAAAATGGGAAGTATATTAAATGTCAGCAGCTTAAATTATTAGAATCTTTTACACCATATACCTAATTAAAAGAAAATAACCAAATATTAACACATTTGTTATTTTTTTAATAGAAATACATATTTTTCTAAACCAAATTTTAAGATAAAGACAACCAAATGTTGTTTGACATAGCATATGTGTTTAAATAACAATATATTAGTTGGTAAATTAAATGTGTTAATAAAATACGAGTTCAGTTTGAATTTATTTAACCAACTTATTAGTATACCTTGTTGGAAAATGTTTAAAAAGTTTTCTGAAAGTATTTTAATGGAATAATGAAATATCTTTTAGTCATTTGGATTCATTTAAAAGAGGCAGAACCATAGAAACATTTCAAATATCTTTAGAACTATACATTATATTCTATTATGCATAAGAATATTTAAAGTTTAACACTTAATGATAAAACTAAAATTTCTTACAAACAGAAATGGTTTATTTATTTATTTTTTTTTTTTTAAAAGAAAATTATTATTAATTAAAACCTAACCTATTTATTAATAATATTATTGTTTAATTATAAACACTTAGTTTTATTCAAATATTTATGGGTAAGATCACTTAAAATGTTTTATTACCAACATTAATAACACAGATACCAATGTCCAATGGTTATTACTAATAAAAAAAAGCTATGATTAATTCACTAATGTATCATAAAAATAAAAAATAATGTAAAATATTTCATCTTTTCATTATATTTGGAACTTTATAAATCAAATGTTAAATACACTTTAATAATATTACAATATGTACATACAACATTAGTAAATTGCACAACATGTAAATTATTAAAGCAAGTAATAGTGTCTAAATGCGCGTAATTTGTCGCGTGATCTGAAACAAGCAACAGAAGTATGTCAGAAACAATTTTTCAAAATCATCAAATATAAATAATTATTTAATAAGGATATGTTAACAAATTTCGGAAGAAAACATCTATTATAAATTGTAGATACAAGTGAGTGTACATATATACATATATGAATTTATAAATATAATATTTGACAAATGTATAGATATTAAATAATGTTAGTTATTTTTTATCAATAATAATTATTTTTTTTTTTTTAGGAAAAATTACTAGAAAATTACCTTTCCCAATGTCAGGCTTCAGCTCAAGACACCAGACATTTCCCACTGAAATTTATAAAATTAAACACATTTCCACAAGACAACAACACAAAAATATTTATGACAGTAAAATTATATAATAGATTTTAATTTATTTGGACATTGGTATAATTATAAACCCTTAACTCAGTACAAACCTGGTAATTGTTGGTGCCACATGCTGTGAACAAGGTAAAAATAAATTAAACAAACATTTCACACATGACAAATTTTAGTTATATTATTTATAAATGTATTTTTTTCTAAGATAAATTATTTAGTTAAACAAATGTAATTTTATTATAATATAAGATATTAAAATTATAGTGGTTTTGAAAGTTATTACCAAGTTTTGTGCCAGAAAAAAAACAAATTAATATTGAAAATCTAGCCTAACAAACCAACGAAAGTATAACTAAAAACAAGCGTAGTCTCAGTATGTTATATAAATATATATTTAATATATTTTT